GGAGAACCCGGAGAGAACCCACGCTGCACGGGGAGAACATGGAGACTCCACGCAGGAAGATCCCGGGTGTCCTCACCGGGACGCCAACCGGCGACCTTCTAGCTGTGAGGCAACAGTGCTAACCACTGCAGCATGAAATGAACAATACAATAAAATTAAAAACATCAACTACACAATAAAAATAATAATAGCAGTAATCATAAATAAATAAAATATGTAAGTAGGCAAAGAAATAAATAGTAAAAGAGAATCAAATGAGCCATAACATAAATAAAGGCTCAAATGTCCACTGCACAATAAAAAATAGACAATAAAAATAATAGTAATGATAGTAAAAAATAAAAATAAATAAATAAGTAAATCAATAAATGGTAAAAGAGAATAAAATGAAAATAAAATTACATTTAAAAAATCAACTACACAATAAAAATAGACAATAAAAATAATAGTAGTAATAGTAAAACAATATAACAAAGATGTAAATAAGTACATCAATAAATAGTAAAAGAGAATAAAATGAGCAACAGCATAAATAAAGGTTTAAACATCCACCACACAGTAACAGCAGTAATAACTACGGTACGGTCTGTCAGGTTTACTGTCTCCAGCTTTGTGTCCCTTTAACCGTCTGTGCTGGTTCCTCATGATGTTCTGATGTTCTGAGCCCAGCTGTGTGGTCCGGTGTGTGTCCTCAGAACGACACGTGGGGCGTCCAGTACTCGTACGCGCTCTTCAAGGCCATGAGCCACATGCTGTGCATCGGCTACGGCGCCCAGGCTCCGGAGGGCATGACCGACGTGTGGCTCACCATGCTCAGCATGATCGTGGGCGCCACCTGCTACGCCATGTTCATCGGCCACGCCACCGCCCTCATCCAGTCCCTGGACTCGTCCCGGCGCCAGTACCAGGAGAAGGTAACCAATAATCAATTGATCAACTATCAGACGGTCAGTTTGAGTCAATTCAGTCTCATCATTTTACAGAAAACCTCTGATTCTGTGTTCAGCTCCTTAGATGTGGATGTTTACAGGTTCCACATCATTCGTGGTGCTCCTCGTCTTCATGAAAAGTTTTTAGTAAAGTTTTTTAACATTTTCTGACATTTTAAAAACCAAGACGACATAATCAACACATTAACTATGAAGATAATTAGTAGTCATGAAAAGTCATTTTTAGAACTAAATGTTGTTTCTGTTTCCAGCTTTCTAAATGTAATGATTGACTGTCCTTCTCTTTCCTTTTTAATAATATATATACATCATATGATTATATATATATATATTATTTATAATAATACATGAGAACAAGTCATGTTCATGTAATTATTCACTTTGCTGTCAGATATTAAATGAATGTCATCTGTTGTAAATCACACGTTCATAGTTTGAGCAACTTAACAAGAAAAATTCTGGTTTTCTGACGTAATCTAATCATTAGTTGTGTTCCTCATAACTAGTGTTTCCTACTATTTATTACAGTATTTTAATCACATTTCTTCGTTTTATCAACCAAACAACTCGTCCTCGTTCAGTAGCTTCTTAAATATGAACATTTTCTGGTTTCTTTAAACCTCTTTAAGACTAAACTGGTGAGAAAGTCTTTAAAGCCTGATTTCTTTGAAGCAGCAGTCAGAAACTCGTCACTCTCAACATGTTCTGACATTTAAAAACAATCAACTAATTACCTGACTATGGGAATAATTACTAGAGATGAAAATGTCACGAAAAATGTTTAAACATTTGAATAATTTTGGCATTAATTCACCACTTGAGTCGTTTTTTAGACTAAATGTCGTTTCTGTTTAGAACAAATGAAAACAAGTCATATTTGTATTCTAATTATTCACTAATTAATGATCTATTTTTAATAGTAATTATTAGTTTGAGGAGTTTTTAATAAGGAAACATCTAAATTCTGTGTTTACAGCATCTTCAGTGTGAATTCTTTCTGGTTTCTTTCCTCCTCTGTGACACTAAACTGAACATTTCCACCGTTTTCTGACATTT